TATATATATATATATATATATATATATATATATATATATATCAAGTAAAAATTCTTAACTATTATAAAATAAAATATATTGAATAGTGAACCAAAATTAATAAAATAAATTAAGTATTTATTATAATTTATTTTAATTGAAGATAAATTAATATTTAAAATATCTATTTTACAATTAAATACATTATCTTAAATTTCTACTCCCATGTTATGGTAGAAAATGATTTACGTACCAAACAATGTAAAGATATGTTACATCACCATTAAATAAATAAAAAATTGTCATTTATAATAAAATTATTATTTTTTACAAAAATAATTTAAAATTTATATATTTTATAATTTGTGATTTGATGACGGTGTATATTAGTGTATAGCCAGAAAATACAAAGTCATTATAGAATAATAATATTTTTGTGAGTTATTTTTTAAAGATATTTTTTAAAAGTTAGTTTTATGTTTTTAATTTGGTCATGTTATTAATATAAAATATTTATTAGTTTTATCATATTTTTATTAGAAAATCTGATCCAACACTTTTGCTATAGTCATTTCTTAATTAGAATTTTTTTATCCATAAAATTTAAATCCAATAAGTTAATGAAATCAGGTTTAGTTTTACTCGGAATCATGAGTATTGTTACTTATTGAACCACGTAGCTTATCCAATTTTATATTTTATATTTTTAATTTAATTTTTTTTGTAACTAATTCATTTTTTAAAACTCTTATATTTTTATCTTTAGTAGTATATATACTTGACTTTCTTAATTGTTTATTGTTTTCATTCAATTTCTTTAAATCAAAGCTAAATATTTTTTTGAAAGCAAAATCTAATTTTTTTAAAAAAGAATATCACTAATTGAAAATAATATCATATCATCATATAAAGTATTTATTATATTTTAAAATATAATTGATATATTTAAAAATACTTATTTATTACTAGTAGAGAGACACTTCGTGTCTCTATATATTTATTTTTTTAAATAAAAAAAAATTGTTAAATTCAAGGATAATAGTGTTTAATACGAAAATAAAAATAAAAATGATTGTTACTGAAATCTATTCCCTTTATAATAGGTTTATTTAAAAAAAAATTTAAAAGAATTTTGTTTGTTAAATTTAAGGGTAATAGTGTCCATGACAAAAATAGAAATGAAAAAAATGATTATTAAAATATATTCCCTTTATAATAAGTA